TTAGGATTTTAAACAAAAACATTATAACACTAGAATATACTAGTGTAAAAGAATAAAAATGAATAAATCAGAGTGATATCACACGTTAAACAGCTTCTGGAAATTTTCATTGTGAATTCATGAGATAATGAAAGTTAAAAAGTCAAATAATGTGTTAGCACTTTTATAAAAAAACACTTGACTTTGTTGACTCCTTGGAAGAATTGCAGGGGACCCCTAGGAATCCTCAAACCACACTCTAAGATCTGCTTATCTACAACCAAGCCTTTTTAATTAACACCTATGCCAAAGACCCCTAGGTCTTCTTGTCTAGCCTGATCTCCTTCCTGAGTTCCAGATAGCTTCTACTATACCATCTACACTTGTTATCTTCCTTCTGTGATGCCTATCTCAAAGGCACTCTAGCTAGATCCCTTTAAATCATCTTAGGCTCCTCCCTTTCCTTCTTTATGCTAATTCCAAGTCATCAAACCCTACTGATTCTACTTTTTAAAAGCCTAATGAAGTCTGGGCTCAAGGGCTCACACCTGTAATCCCAGCACTCTGGGAGGCCAAGGCAGGCAGATCATGAGGTCAGGAGTTCGAGACCAGCCTGGCCAACACAAACCCCATCTCTACTAAAAATATAAAAATTAGCAGGGCACGGCGGCGCATGCCTGTAGTCTCAGCTACTTGGGAGGCTGAGGCAGGAGAATTGCTTGAACCTGGGAGGCGGAGGTTGTGGTAAGCTGAGATCATGCTACTGCACTCCAACCCAGGGAACAGGCGAGACTCCAGCTCAAAAAGAAAAAACAAAAACAAAAAATCTAATGAAATCTAGAAGCTTGTTAGAAATGCAAAATTCTACCCTAGACCTACTGTCATAAACATTAAGTGATTCATTCGCACAGAATAGTTTGAGAACCACAGCCTTAGGTGGTGACAGTCTCAGTATCCAAAGTTAGAGAATCCGAAGAAGGCAGAGCCCAAACAGCAAACTTGAAAATACTAGTTAGAAGTCCTTTTATCTCAAGTTTTTCCTCCTAATATTAAACCTTGAAGGTTTTAAAGTTTTATAAAGAAGGCAGTATTCCTTAACAAAGTGATCTTCCTAACTTGGGTTTCATGTCCCTCCAATCCAATCCTCTACATTGCTATCTGCCTTGTACCTCTACTTTGTCTTTTGTTTCCCCTGTTTCAATGGCTCTCTACCTGAAGTCCAAATTCCTTACTATGAAATACAAGGGTCTTCAAAACCTGACCCCTGCCTACCTTTCCCCATTTCTGCATATACTCCCTCCATCAGAAGCCTGAAAACCAGGGGAATACGAAGCAGCTGGGGTATTTTTTAAAGCTTTTCGGGAGATCTAAAGAGCAGTAGCGGCTAGATCACTGTCCTCTCTAAACAAACTATCTGTCATACTCCCATGTAAAAGCAAACACAGATCCTAGTCCCTCTGTATACCGTTCTTTTCCTACCTCGCTCTGCTTTTATGGGATGAATTCACAGCCTCCTTAAAAACTCAATTACTCTCTTTCTTTGAGAGGAAGACTTCTTTCCTTCCTTCCCCTACAGGCAAATGAAATTGGTGTTTCTTGCACTTTGCCTTCAGATAGATTTGCTTGCTTCTATGTGCTCACACAGCCTACAATTGTTCATGCGAAGCAGACCGGTCTAAATGTTTTTCTACTAAACACTGATTTTCACTTGAGGCAGGGATTGTATCCTATTCATCTTATACTCTCTGTGATTAGGGCAGGAGACTATAAGTTAATAGATATGCAATAAATGTTTACTGAAAATACCGCTGAGTTTTCTGGAGGACTGCTGAATGGGACCAGGAGTGATGTAAATAAAACAATCAAAACCCAATACCTTCCTACTACCATTCTTCTTCATTACAAGAGGAAAACTTTTCATTCTATTTAATTCCACATTTACAACAAAAGTCAGATTCATATATAAAATAAACCGCATACAAACTGAAATAAAAATTTCACTTGAAGTAGATTAATCAACCTAACAATGGACAATGGGATGGCTTTCCAGTTTTATATAGTAAGGTAGAAGAAAACAATAGGGATTCTGGATTGTCTGAAAGACAGGATGTCTGAAAGGAGGAAACAAAGTACAGAAAAGGGATGGTAGTGAGTTAAAACCATCACAAATCCTAAGAGGGATTCAAACAGAAAAGCATTGTGTGAACTAGAATATGGGTTGCACTATTAATTTATATTAATAATATGGGATACAAATTCAGGATCCGGGTGGTAAGGGTGGTAGGAGACGGCAGGTTTAAAAAAAAAAAAAAGTATAAACTGGCTGGGTATACGGTGTTATGCTCGTAATCCCAGCTTATTTTTTTTTTTTTTTTGGAGGCTGAGGAGGAGAACGCTTGAACCTGGGGACAGAGGTCTGGCAGTAACCGAGATGCAGCGCCACTACAACTCCAGCGCTGGGCGACCAGAGTGAATCTCTGTCACAAAAAAAAAAAAAAAAGTAATAAACCTTCCAGTAATATTTGCTCCCAAAACCAAAAACTACTTATTTTAGAAAAGTAGTAAATCAGAATGGATTACCAAAATAGTGACATCAGAAGACAATGAAATACTTCATAAACTTTACTACTAGGAGTACTAGGAAAGAACCGAAGTACTTCTATCCTGCAATTGCAAGCTGTTTCTCTCATGTTTACTTAATGATCTATAAATATCTGTATTTGATATGTATAAAATTTCACCAAAGGAATTTATTAAGGTATCAACTATACAGATAAAACCTGGGAATCATTTTCCAGATAAGCAACTTTTAAATGGAAAGATACACTAAATAATAATAATAATAATAATAATAAAATAGTAATTATTTCTTTGAATCTTAAGGACAATGGTATAATCATGTAGTCATTTCTGTGGCCACTAGACTTAACCGTTAATTTGTAAAAATCCAAGACAGAGAATACAGAACAGCACAAAGCCAAAACATTTTTCTTTTTTCTTTTTTTTTCTTAAGACAGGGTTTCACTCTGTCGCCCAGGCTGGAGTGCAGTAGCACATCATGGCTCATTGCAGCTTCGACTTCCTAGGCTCAGGTTATCGTCCATCTCAGCCTCTGGAGTAGCTGGGACTACAGGCACAATGGCACCATACCCGACTAATTTTTTGTGTTTTTTTAGAAACGGGCTTTGCCATGTTGCCCAGCGTGGTCTCGAACTCCGGTCTCAAGCAATCCTGCCTCAGCCACCTCCCAACATGTGGGATTACAAGTGTGAGCCCTGTACATGGCCCAAAAGATTTTTCAAGATTTTCTATGTGCCCCAAATGTCAAAACTTCAGTACAGATAAGCTAAGTATATCTAATGATTAACCAAATTGTGTTTCATTGCAAATGCCAGTATGGTCTTTTAAGAAACAAAAACATGTTTTAACTAAAAATATAGCCAAAAGTGGATCCTTGGACTCTTTAAAGGGAAGCTGAATTTCTTATGGACTAATTCCTCTGAAAAAATCCAAATACTAAATCTGTAACTTATATTTGGAATATGGGTACCTATAAAGAACATATACTGTGATAAGTGATCTTACTTCCACCATGTTTTGCTTTTTAAAAAATATCTTATCAAAAATATCATATTTAGTGAACAGAAAAGAGAAGTATCTAAAATTATTTTATTGCTCTTCATCAACACAAATGCCTATGAAAGAGGAGGCAGGTGAAATTACTAAATATTTCCAATTCTGGGAAAATATCAGAAATGTCCAAAGTCCGAAATATAAAGTGAGAACATTCTTGACATAGTTTTAAAAAAAAACTCTGACTAGAGCTAAACCTACAATTTTCAAAGACTTAGTATAAGTATGTTAATTTTTTAAAAGCTACAACTGATAATCTGATGCTACAGGGGTACTAACGCTTACCTCAAGGGAACCTACTGCAGATAAAGTCCCGTCACTTGCACAGTCCTTTCAGCTGCCTGCCAGTTGTTTCTGTGGAAGGGAAAGCCTGATGAGTGAGAGCCCTATGCCATACTCCTTTGGAGTGTCAGGGTGCCTGCACAGAACTGCACGCAACTGTCTACCTAGAGATTTCTAGATGCTTTCAATAACACAGAGCTAAAAAGATGCCACCTTTGAAGTTCCCTTTCTTCTGAACAGTGAAACAAAATGCCTAAGAGTCTCTGAGTGCTAATGAACTACTGGTATTATCAAGGTGATAGGTCTATACTAACCAAGTAGAAAAAAGACAAAAATGGATCAAGTAGAAATAAGATTGACAGGGAAAATACACACACACACACGTGACAGAACCGTATCATCCAAGGAGAGAAAAGGCTATATCCACAAGAGTCAAGCTGTAACATCAACAAATGAATGCTAAAACCCACGGAACTTCCTGTCACCCATTTTTAAAATATGTCAAGTATATCATGCTCAGAGTAAATTATACCATGGATCCAAATGCCTGCTTGTAAAATCCCAGATATTTTCTTGGTGGGATCAGTAAATGGGTAAAAGGGGGAGGGATTAATAGGGGAGGGAATTCTTCAGATTTTTTAAAATACAAAAAGTGAAAACCGGCAGCATGATTCCATAAGAAATTCTAAAAAGAGGGAAAAAATGTGTATCTGTATCTCAGAAAGTACATAAACTCTTACTAAGGATCAAACTAAAAGGGAAGAATAAAGAGAAATAATAGAAAACTGGGAAACCCAACATACTTAAGAACCACCTTCCTCTCACAGAATTATGAATGGCTAATAACTGTCTTCAGTAAGAATATATATTCATCATTCATTTACAAGTTCAGCTACATAACCAAAGAAACTGTATTTTCTTTCTAACGCCAAATGCAATCTTCAATCTGAATGTTGTGCTTCGTAAGGCAGAACAAAACATTCCTATAAGAAACTTTAAAAGCATTAACCTTTAGCAAAAGAACTGATGAAGAAACAAAAAACTAATTAAAACGGTGATTCCAGCTTTTACTTTAATAGCACCATATTTAAACTGAAATTACTTACCTCTGATTCTTTGTCACTTAAAGATCCCAAGCTTCCAAAACTGTGATTAGAGCTTTCGTTATTTGTTGAGGCCTGTTAAAGATTTTTTAAAAAGTAAAAATTAGGAGTAATTTTTTAAAGCACTGGGAGTAATTTTAAACAAACATATTACAAAGTACATAATCTATCTTCATAAATAAAGTATAATTCCTTTAAACAAGGAAGCCAAATGAGGTAAAAATAAATACTAAATTCTTAACACTATAAATACTCTGAAAAGTTTTATCAAGTCAATAAACTTCCGCTATGTTTTAGGAACTGACTTCTATTAGCTGGTTTTTTAAATCCCAGTTCAAAAGCAAAGGAATTGAGCCATTGTTAGAATGACAAGATCCCTAAAATTATTACCCAATGTATTAAAAACTAATGCTACCTTTGGCTGAAAGTATTATTTGGGCTCTTCAGGTCCCTTGACAATTATCAAATTCCATCACGTTTGAAACACACCTCTTTGCCTTTCTCCGTATTAACAAACTGTCTTGTTTTTTTTTTTTTAATTTGTTTTAACTCGATCTCTTCAAAAAAATCTTTGACCGGCCGGGCGCGGTGGCTCAAGCCTGTAATCCCAGCACTTTGGGAGGCCGAGACGGGCGGATCACGAGGTCAGGAGATCGAGACCATCCTGGCTAACACAGTGAAACCCCATCTCTACTAAAAATACAAAAACTTAGCCGGGCGAGGTGGCGGGCGCCTGTAGTCCCAGCTACTCGGGAGGCTGAGGCAGGAGAATGGCGTGAACCCGGGAGGCGGAGCTTGCAGTGAGCCGAGATCGCGCCACTGCACTCCAGCCTGGGCGACAGAGCGAGACTCCGTCTCAAAAAAAAAAAAAAAAAAAAAAATCTTTGACCATCTTGACCATTTTAATTAATTGCTTTGCTCAAGAACTTCTCCATTTCCTTGACAGTATTTCTGAACTGTAACCAAGAAAAAAGAGCTAACATTCTGTAGCATGATGTCTGCTTTGTTTCCAATATGCTTCTATGATGCTTCTATGCTTCTGTGACTTTTTTGTACCATCAGTACATCAGATCAAAGTCTTCCAGAAATGCTTAGACAAGGAGGCTGACAGATTATGGCATATATGTCAAAGATGAGGCAAGAATTAACATTACATACAGGCAAGCCAATTGATATCCTCATGTTTCACCTCCACTTGTAACAGGAGTGGCTGCTAATCCTACTATTAACAGGTTGCAAGTTGGACTATAATTATATAACTGAAATTAGATTAATTTCCAAAGTGACAACTCTGAGCCACTGCATACATGCCCAGTACTATGCTGGATACTGTAAAAGCTGCTGTCAACAAAGGATAGCACTTGAACTAATTACAATTCAAGTAGTACTGGGAATAAGTTATAATCTAATTATGGCAAGATTATCAAATTTGAAACCGCAACAATTAAGAAGTAACACATTAGAAAGATTCTAGGACAATAAGGGCAGTGGCAAAGTGTTTGAGCATCTGTAAATACCCACCAAAATAATGTATAAAACTAAATAGTAAACCAAAAACCCATGGGCAATATTTACAACAAAACTAGATGACAAGAATCTCCATGAATCCCCCAAAACAGCAGATTTAAACAAGTCAACAACAACCATAGATAATGTATGGTATCATTATCAATATGGGAGGAAACAGAAAGAAACAGATGTCTGATAACCGAAAACAAAAGACACCTAAAACAGCCAACAAGTAGGTACAGAAGCTAGGTTAACTTAAGTACAGAAGGATTTTGCACTTTCAATTAGTGACTTAAGAGGGAGGAGTCCACGGTTACGTCTAAGAAGTGAGAGCAGTCTGGCCTCTACGAATCCTTGAAACTGATCTTTACATAACAGGGTGGTACAATGAGTATAAATTACTGGGTGTGGAATGAAAATTGAGTACTAGATAGGTACAATTACAATAATGGAAAGAGACTATTCAGATAAAGCAGGGAGGGAAGGTCACCTAGCAAACTCAGAAAGCAAATGCCACAGTTTTGAAGCAAGCCTAAAAACAGCAGTAGAGAAAGCCCTGTAAGAAAAGCCATCCTGAACCACACCTGCTACACTTAAGTAAAGTAGGTAAAAGAAAATTATGTAGGTCATAAAGGTATAAGAAAAAAGAAAGTAAGATACAGAATAACATCCAGATAATAAAAGCATATCAGAAACACACATCCACAAAATAGGTAAAAACTGTAACCTACTATTTTAAAATGAGCTAAAAGATATTACAAAAATGACTCAAGACATGAAGCAACTATATAAATCGGATTTCAAAAAACCGGAAATAAGGTAACAGAACTCAAGAAAGCATTAAAAATAAAAGAAAAAGTTTCAGAAATAAAAAGTAAATCTGAATGAACCCAAGAGCAAATATATACAGTAGATAATGCTTTAAAAGATAACTAGAAGGCGAAAAACAGCAACATTTTTGAAATCAAAAGAAATGAAGAGATAAAAAGGATTTGAGAGTAAGCAACAGCTGATGAAGCAACAAAGATCAATATACAGATAACAGAAGACCCTAAAAACTACTAAAGCCAGAAAACAGTAAAAACTGTAATTCAAGAAAATGTTTCTGACGGCTGGGCACGGTGGCTCATGCCTGGAATCCCAGCACTTTGGGAGGCTGAAGTGGGCGGATCACCTGAGGTCAGGAGTTCGAGACCGGCCTGACCAACATGGTGAAACCCTGTCTCTACTAAATATACAAAATTAGCCAGGCATGATGGTGCACACCTGTAATTTCCAGCTACCTGGGAAGCTGAGGCAGGAGAATCACTTGAATCTGGGAGGCAGAGGCTGCAGTGAGCCAAGATCACACCATTGCACTCCAGCCTGGGCAACAAGAACAAAACTCCATCTCAAAATAAAAAGAAAATAAATGTCTCTGACATTTTCAGTTGTCAGGCTCTTGTTGCCAGTTGTTGTTCTTTAAATGTTCAATAAAAAAACTGAAATTGCTGACAGAGCACCATGCACACCTAAGAATAACAACCCAGAAAGCGAACATCAAAGGCAAACACTTTAATGCGAGAAGAAAATGGAGTGACATAAGCTATTCAAGGAAAGAAAACAAAAGCAAAGTGTTTTATATTTAGTAAAATCTATTTTAAGCACATGGAAAGCATAGATAAACGGTTACCAAAACTGCAAGCAATTAGGGAATCCTGCTCCCATGAGCCTTTCCTAAAGAATCTACTATAGAACAAGCTTAAGACAACCAAAATGAATAGTTTATCAGTCTAAGAACTGAAGGCAAGCAATAATATGACTTATTGTTGATCAAGATTAAATGATAATGACAAGGGAGAGGATATAATAGTTAATGACTAAATGCATACAGTATTCTTAAAACTAGGGGATGGAAAGCATATACAAAATAACTGTTTTCAGTACCCACTTTGTTCATTGTGCTAATGTTATTTTGAGACCACTATGTGTGTGAAATACAGAATAAGGTAAAATAATTGAGGGATATCCAATTCTATCCTCTGCTTTATATCTTCGAGAATCATAATTCATAGTATAAAGATGCATAAGAAAAAAACCTTATAATCCTGAGTTTGAACTGGAAATATCAATAAGAATTCAGGAAATATTTTTATCTTTTAAAACAAACAACAAAAATACAAGTAGGTAGGTAGATGAATAACATTCCACCACCAGTAAAAACAGAATACCTTATTTTCTACAGAAAACTACAAATTCTGGAAAAAAAAGATTTAAAAAAACAACCACCCAAACCAAAAGTAGGCAGAATCTAAGTACAAGACAACACTTAGAAGAAGGGAACAGAGGCCGGGTGCGGTGCCTCACGCCTGTAATCCCAGCACTTTGGGATGTCGAGATGGGCAGACTTCTTGAGGTCATGAGTTCAAAACCAGCCGGGCCAACATGGTGAAACTTGTCTCTACTAAAAATACAAAAAATAGCCGGGTGTTGTGATGTATGCCTGTAATCCCCGCTACTAGGGAGTCTGAGGCAGAACTGCTTGAACCTGGGAGACAGAGGTTGCAGTGAGTAGAGATCGCACCACCATATTCCAGCCTGGGCAACACAGCAAGACTCTGTCTTTAAAAAAAAAAAAAAAAAGGAAGAAGAGGAAGAGGAAGAAGAAGGGAATAGATCTAGGTAGGTTTCCTGTTTTTACAGCTTTTGCTGAGGGGAAGGTCCCAGAGATCAAAGCTGCACAGACAGCAGTTGAAACCAAGATCAAAATCTGTAGTCTTACTGGCTTGAAAAACAAGTTTCGAGCTTCCAAAGAGGCTGCAAAGTAAGGAGGGATATGCTGGAAAAGAAAGATCCACAAAGGGAGAGTCCCAAATTCTGCATATTAACTCTGCCTACTTCTCTGGCTGGTCAGTGATCTATGAAAAAACGGAGCAGACGATAAGCAGCCTAGATAAAACCACTAACAGGGATGTCAGTGCTGCCCTCTGCAGGGAAACATAGTTTAAATTTCAGTCTAGCCAAGTTAACTGCCTCCTAACACACAAAAAAATAAAAAACAGTCTCCAAAGTCACTGTAATGTGTCATTCACAGTGTGGAGGATATAATAAAAATTTGTAACCATATGAAGAAACAAGAAAAAGTTACCCATACTCAAGAGGAAAGACAATCAATAGATACTAACCATGAAGTAACACAGATTTGGAACCAGCAAATAAATACCATAAAGCAGCTAATGTAAGTAGTTCAAACGACAAGATTGGAAATTTCAGCAGAAAAATAAAAACTGTAAAAAGAGCTGAATGTAAATTCTACAACTGAAAATTTCACTCTCTAAAACAGAAAACTTACTGAATGGACTTAACAGAAGAATGGAAAAAGACAGTACTGAAGATAGGTCAAGAGAAATTACTCAAACTAAAGAACAGAGAAAAAAATACTGAAAAATACTGTCTGTTGGACACCATGAAACAGTCTAATACACACGTAACTGGAATCATAAAATTAGAAAAAGCAGCAGATAAAAAAATTTGAAGAAATGACAGCCAGAAAAATCCCAAAATTTGGCAAAGATATTAATTTATAG